AGAAATTTATAGGAAAAATGTTACTTTTGGCCGCCTTTTTTGCGATAAAATTTCGAAACTAGTTTCGCATATGAGACGTCTCGAAGTGACGGTCTTACATTGGTGTGACGGTATATGTGCTTCCGCCACTCATTGGTATATAATAGTTTGTTCGTGCAACACGCAAAGTGTTTTGTATCTGGCTGGGTAATACTTAGACGTCTGAAAAACGGTCTCCTGGTCTTCACAGTTGGCAGTTGGGACTTGAGTGACTACTTGTTTGGAAAATAGTAATACACCTTCATCTCCAGACAAGCACCGCTGCCTTGCGGTCGGGCTTTTGAGCTAATCATCCTCCTGTTTATATGTGCATGCCCTGGAAGCATCACAGCCCACGTACAAACATGGATTGCATAGTTACACATAACTTTGTGCCACATAGACTGCCTCATGGTGTGATCAACCTGGTTGATTTATTTGCCTTATAAAGCATGCTGTGAATGCGAGGACAGCCTACAAGTAACGCTCCCTTTCCTTCTCTTTCACATACTTTCATCCCTCTCCATCCACTCTAATAATACATCCATCCCTCTTGGCTCACCCGTTAGGACTGAATGCCCGTTCGTCTAGTACCGGTTTCGACAGCAACCCATGCGAATCAGCTGACGCGTACATTCCCAGGCATCTAGAAATCAATTTTCAAGCCTGTAAACTCTGCCTATCCAAGTGCTTTCAATATCTGCCCCCTAAATCAAACATGAAAACGAGTTTCTTTTGCTCTCATACTGGACTCGCTTGCTAATGATTTCTGCTGTGCACCAGAAACAAGAATTCAAGAGGCAAGCACGGTGGTCCAGCTTACCCTCTCATCGCTCTCCAATCCATTTCGGCTGCACACCTTTGACAAAAGGATCGTTGCATGACTGGTCACCCGCTGATGTTTGTCCCGGTGCGGTTTGCCTGGCAAATTCCATAAAAGGGATTCACAAGCAGGAAGTTGATCGCTGCTTATCTTTCGTACCTGCTTACGCTCCATCCGACTGTACCTCTGATGCCATCAAAGACACGTTTTATGGAGCTTTGACTGCCCTGTGTTGGTGAGCTCAGGTATCGTGATAGGTACCGGAGATCTGAATGCACAAGTGGGCAGGCTTAGCGCATCTGAGACTCAGTTAGGCAGTCGGAATTTATTGGAATCGGAACGCATAGAAAATACGGACGAGTGGTTTACCGTGCTGACTACAGACTGTTCCTATGCAGTAATAACTTCCTTAGGAGCCGAAGACATCTGACTGAGTGGTGTCATCCAACATCGTGCCATTTACAAGCCAAAATTGAGCGCATTGCCATCAGCCACCGTTGATCCCGGTCAATAATTGACTACCTTTCGTTTTGGAACTTGTTTGTGGATTCTGACCACGAATACGTCAAGAATAAGTTTACTCTTCGTTTTTCAGAGCCACGTAGGATGAGGAAAAATCGCTTAGCAACTGAGAGACTGGCAGATACGAAGGTTAAATAAATTCACCGGGATTGTCTTCTGGAGTCTCTTCAAAACTGTTCTATCGTCGGACGTGAATTTGTGTTGAAACGGGATCGCTAAAACCATGAAGACCACTGGAAGTTGTGCTTGTGGCAATGCAATACCAGGTCCTCTTAAGCACAGCCTGAATTGTGGAGAGATATGCCCACCGGTCTCGAGCATAATTTGGCCCAACGAATTGTCAGTCATCAAAAGCAAGTGAGCATGTGCGCCTGTCATGAAGCCTGGGGGAAACGGAACACGCCTGGAACAGGGTCAAAATGTCGGTAATGCCCGAAGGTTGCTTCAATTGATTAGTTTGACCTTACTGCGGAAAACGCCTATGAATGGAGCCATCGAGAATCTAAAAGGCCCGGTCATTTTAAATAGAGAAAAAGGCCTCGACCGACGGGCCGAATACTCGAGAAACAATAATTCTCATAGCCACCAGCTGGAACTAAGAAGGATCCTACAACTGGCGGTTAATCTGGAATTCTCTACGATCTTAGAGATGTGTTACTGCATGTGTTCTATCATCTCCTTGTCCTGATGACCACATACCCGCATTGTCCAAATTTGGGGAAGAAATCCTAGGTTAACGTGACCGACCATTTTAAACAAAGGAAAAGGCCTCGACCGACGGGCCGAATACTCGAGAAACAAATTCTCATAGCCACCAGCTGGAACTCAGAAGGATCCTTCAACTGGCGGTTAACCTGGAATTCTCTACGATCTTAGAGATTTGTGACTGCATGTGTTCTATCATCTTCTTGTCCTGATGACCACATGCCCGCATTGTTCAAATTTGAGGAAGAAATCCTAGGTTAGCGTTTGTCCGATCTGTTTGCCTGCAGCTGAGAAAAGGAGACTGTTCCATACAACTAAAAAGATTCGATTATAGTGCTTATTATTAACGATGGGGTCTGTAGTGAGCGCGTTGATCACTGGGGGATCAGTTTGAACTCACTAGTAACTTGGCGTCACTTGTCTTTCGTAGCCTAACAGTTGCTCGTGAAACACTGACTCAAGGGTAGCGAGCGGGTGGGAGTTGCGTCCACTAAATCTTCACACTCGCTCGGGTGCAAGAAAAATGCCATATATATAAGCAACCCAGAATCTTAGAGTTACTGGATTTCCCACACGCATTCAAGTCGGTTGACCGGTCCGTTTACATGGATGTACTTCCCCATCTAGTAACTTGGCGTCACTTGTCTTTCGTAGCCTAACGGTTGCTCGTGAAACACTGACTCAAGGGTAGCGAGCGGGTGGGAGTTGCGTTCACTAAATCTTCAGACTCGCTCAGGTGCAAGAAAAATGCCATATGTATAAGCAACCCAGAATCTTAGTGTTACTGGATTCCCCACACGCATTCAAGTAAGTTGACCGGTCCGTTTACATGGACGCACTTCCCCATGTACATGGATGTACTTCCCCATCGAGGAATTATCCATTGGCTTGTGAACACAATAAATCCTTTGTGTGCTCATACTTCCGAGCTTGTGATAGCATATGGAGATCTCTTCAAATGCTTCTGTACACAAAGTGGTATCCATCGGGGATACAAACTTTCACCATTCCCATTTGATTTCGTGATCCATGTGATAGTAAGAAGACTAGGAGGTTTCCAAAACTCTGGTATTCAACTAGCTGCTGACGCAATCATCTTTGGTCTGTATATGCAGACGACATCGCTTTCGTCTTCGAAGGGAAGATGGCATAGGTGTCTACTGGTAAACCGACCAAAGTCGTCCTTTTGGTTTATGCTTTACACTCACAAAGTGTAATGACTTGCTTCCGGACGTGTAATCGACTTACAGTGCAGAGAAAGGCACTCAAAGTTGTTGAGCGTTTCACTTACATTGGAAGTTTTAGTAGTTCTGATTGTAGTGTGACAAATGCATTCAATGCACAAATCTGCAAGGCTTGAGTCGTTATTGCTCAATTGAGACACTTACGGCATGCAATCAGTGTATCCCTGAATCTCAAGGGACGTGGGTATCAAATTACAGTACCAGCTATTTTGTTGCATGGCTGGGAGGTCTAGCTTAATCTAGCAGTGTAACTGAGGCCTCTTCAGGTGTTCGACAACTGTTCGTTACATAGACGTGGCTCGTGTAGGCTGGTGTTGGCGACTCCGTAACGAGGCTATTAGAAAGCAAGTGTTCGGTTGCGCAACGCGAACTTCCATTGAAGAATGCTTCAAGCACCAGAGGCTGTGACGGTTACGCGTCGAAATATCTTTTGCCGAAGAGAGTGTAGTTTTCCGTACCCAAATCATAGTGGCCGAAGTAGAGATAACCAATCTTTGACCTGACAGTGCTGCATGACAAAGATTATGAAAATTGTGGGACCGCTCCAATGAGCGACACTTTAAGCACCTTGGATTGAATGTGGTGGATTAGCACTAGTCCCTTTTCCATCTACTTCTATTCTTTTCTCCACTATAAGGCTTTAAAATAAATCATGGTTGTACTCCAAAGAAGTTTCATCTTCTAACATTAATGTTTTGCTGTTATTGATAATGATGATCACACGTAGAACCAGCTTGTTTCGCCATAACTGCTGCCTCAGACCTAACAAAATCTGCAAGTTCGAACGATCTGGTCAATGGGTTTTGACCAGTGACTTTACTCAGCTTTTGTTTGAAAGTATGCAGCATAATCATTTGTGAAACCGATTGTTACTAACTACCAGCCTGCTGCCTTCATGATTACTCCAAAACAGTCCGGTCTTCTCATAAAGGAAACTACTCACAAGGTTGCTGAAAACTCTTTGACAGCCCACGACCGGTTTCGCCATTCTTGGGGCTCATCAGGTAGGCGCAGTCCCCGAGTTTCCGTCAACCTTATGATCCGCTGTTTTCGATAAATACACTCATTTGCAAATCTTTTCAGGGGAGATTCAGTGGAATCTCTCGTTTATGATGTCCTCCACCTGAATGTTCTGCACACAGGCTGCCTCGTAAACGAGAGATTCAATTGAGTCTCCCGTGAAAACCAAATTGGTTTGCAAATGAGTGTATTTCTCGAAAGTCCGGTCTTCTGTTTTAGGCGTTGCACAAATTGCACATCGCTGTGTAAATTTACATGTCTGTAAAGTTAGTTTGCCTGAGATTATCCTTTGAATAGTAGTTCCTCCAATTTCTGTGTTAGGTTGAGAATCCGAAAAAACATTGCACAAAATCCAGTAAACAATGTCAAAGCGTACATGCTCGACTGATTAACAGTGGGACGCAAACTTAATGGTCAGACTGCTCACAAAGGCGTGCTTAACGCTGATTTATATACCAAGTGCTGAGAAGTAGCATGTTCACATCTAATGCAAGTTTAGATGTTAATTTTTCGCTAGATGTATTAGCACAGAATGTCAGATATTGTTACCTGTTCCAAAACCTTCCCAACACATGTTTAATGGTTTAGATCGGCTCAGCGTGGTAATCAGCATTGGTTAAAGGGTTCATTCTAGGTAGCATGCAGCTGTCATCATCATCATCGACAGCATGACATCAGTGGTCAACACCAATGCTTCACTGCCGTACAACCATCACTTATTTGAAAGAGTTATGGTAAAGAAAAGAATAGAGGTGGACGGGGAAGGGACTTAGTGCTAACTTAACACAGTCATTCCGAGGTGCCTACACCTCCAGACATTCATTCAGGCAATTTGGATAGAAACTGATAACAAGAACGCCACTGACATCGGTTGGCAGCCATATCTTGTAATGTCTCCAAGCAGGCACAGTGAGGATCACGCGGTCCTCATCCTGGAAGGCGAGTAGCACCGACAGCACCCAAGTGTTTCGTGATCTCCTTCATACTCCTCCGCCAAGTCAAGGGTTTGCCACCTCTCTGTTTACGCCACTCTGAATTGGGCATGGAAAACAGCACTCTCATCGGCAAACAATGGTTCGGCATACGCAACAC